GAGAGTGTCGGGAGCTCTGAGAAAGAAGGTTGCTGGTGCCTTCTCCGTGCTGCTCCTGGTTGCTGTTGATGGGAAGTTGGAGATATCCTGAAACGAAGCGTGGACTTGCCCCAAGGAACCCGATGCCCCGAACAAGAGGGAAGCAGCGAAGAAGGACTGCTAAGCCCCTTCTCCCCACTAACCCTTTTTCTCTCGTGCCCAGTGTTGGGGTGCTAGAAGAGGTTGGGGAGGAGAAGGAAAGAGGAGATATTAAGAAATGTAAATCGTTAAAAAGTATACTAACAAGTGGCTCCCAGACACTGGCCTTGGAGTAAGGAAAAATCTGGGTTCTAATGCCGTAGGTACGGAGACAGGGGTATATTGTTTGAGGATGTGAGGAAAAGGTTTACTGCGGCTGTTTCCACGGGTTTCTCTCCCGCTTTACTCCCCAAGGGGATTCTCTGATATTGATTCTTCATCTTCCTGCATTCCGTTTTAAAGAAGGTTGAGAGAATGGTTGAACAATCGGGAAAGTTGGCAATGCATGTATAGGGGTTTGAGAAAAAAAAAAAAGATGAAATAAGTCTACCAGAAGGTGCACTCATTTTAGAAAGGATTGCAGAGTTGGCAGGGTGACTAGAAAATTTTCGGGTGGAGGTTGAAATGCCTGGAAAGCAAAAGGCGCCAATGGTAAAGGGAGAACACTTGGTAACTAAGCAAGCGTTTCCCACGATTGCCGCTCTGCCGGGGGTGAAGCAAGGGGCTGGAAGGAGCAGAAAAGATCATAGGGCGAAAGGGTTAAAGATAAAAACCCTATTTCAAGAAAAAAAGGTTAAACTTGAACAAACTTAGGTGCCAAGAGAGCAGCCTCGGGTTAAGAGATTGCCACCATTAAATTTCCCCCTCGCCACCAAAAGCCTTAGCTATCAAAATGTTGGTGCTTTAATTATGGTAAATTCAGTCACTTGAAAAGAAATTGTGACCGAAATGCTAAAGTCTAAGAGCTCAAAGTTGCAGGTGCCTTAAATCTGCTAGAGAAACAAAAGAGCAATTTCTGGTAGCACTGAGTTCTCAGCAAGAACTGGAGTTTGTAGATTTGCCAGAGAAGAAAACAAGCCATTTCTGGTGGCACTTAAGTTCTAGGCCAGAACTGGAGTTGGTAGACGCTGTGATAAAAGGTGTCATTTGACTATTGAATGCATGTCCAAAACAGACATATGAGGTAACTTCTTGCCCTCAGGAAACGACTTTGGAGTCCTAGCTTGAGGCTCAACAGCAAAGAGTCTGAGCCTTTCTAGACAAGAACAGCTGAGTTACCAGGTTATAGCAGAAACTATTCATCTAGAAAGGGTTTGGTTCCTTGATCATCTCCTTGGCAGTTCAGTATCCAAGTGGGTTCCATTGTAATAGGAACAGGACTTATCTGACATGAACTGATTGGCCTGCTCTTTGATCACCTCCCCATGAGGGGGAAGCAGCATTACCAGGCCACAGAAGAAGACAATGAAACCACTCCTGAAGAGACCTAATTGACTAGGATCAGAAGGAAGGAAAAGAAGACCTCCCCATCAGTGGACTTGGGGAGGGGCATGCATGCAGAGGGTGGAGGAAGGAAGGGAATGGGACTGGAGGAGAGAGGTAACCACAGGGGAGATACAAAGTGAATAAAGTGTAATTAATAAAGAATTTAAAAAAAGTCTCATTCATATTAAAAGAAAAGCCAAAAAGCCATTTTTTAAACAGAAGGGGGGAATTTTTTTGAATAATAATCTTTATTAGTGTGATTTCAAAGATACATATAATTCTGAGCTACTTCATTTATGCTTTTGGCATTTTATCTTTGAGGTTTACATGTATTTCCCTCCAAACTTTGTGGTAAGTACATTTTTATATTAATCAGGAACAAAGATGAGTTAAAACAGTCTTGTCCCTTGGAATCACCTACCAATTTACTCAGGCCATCTCATTGTCTAACTTTACCACGTGAAAGAGCTTAGACCACTGATTCTCAAATAGTTCCTTCTGAACTGCAGAAGCGGACCATGCCAGAGCTGAGTCCATGAATCCCAACTGAAGTTTAGAAACCTGTGAAGCTCTTCATCTCCTATCATTTTCTTGAATATATAGAGTCATTATCTGGCCAGGTGACATACCACTTATTCACAGACTATATAACTCTTATTTTATTTTGGTCTCTTAATATCTCTTCCTCCCTTCTCTTCCCCAATCCTTTCTAACTCCCCAGTATAGGGTAGGAGAGAAAGAATAGTGGAGAGAGGTCTTAATTTCTTTTTTAGTTGCTTCCTGATGGTTACAGTCGTCTGGTTCCTTGGGGAAAGTTGAATCTTCATTTCAGGATATCTCCAAATTCTCATCCAACTGTATCAATAGCAACCAGGAAGATCGGGAGGAGGTACCTTCTTTCTCAATACTCTCTGGGCTCTGGCCTTTATTTCCTCTCCAGAGTCCTCATAATTAAACTATCTGCAGCTGGCAAAGAGCCCCTCTCAGAGCCCGCATGAGACAAATACTTTGCTGTCATGAACAATCTGAATCAGTCCCATAATCCTATACCTGGGACAAAAAACAAAAACTTGTTTATATCCACAACATGGCATATGAAGAACAGCCTGTTATCTCTCAGTAAAAAACAAAAACAAACAAACAAATAAAAAAACCCACTCACAAGTGAGCTGTTCTTTAAAGTGTATCTGCAGGCAAGAGATGAAAAACAAAAGCTACAGTTTTGAAACAGTCTGTAAACTAGTAACAGTCAGTTTAAAAGAAACATGTTACATATAGAAAAGCTGCTCTTTGCAGAGTTCTAACAGAGCTGGTGTTCTACATGGACTCCATCTTGCTTTGGGGGCCCCTTTCAGAGCTAGTGTTCCAGCTCTTTCCTCAGAATTTTTTTTTTCTTCTTGTTTTGACAACAGTCACAGTGAGCCATGCCTATTCTAAGCAGTTTATTAACTATTGGTCCCCAGCGCTCCCTGTGTACACTGGATCGTGCTCTGATCACTGCCTGCGCTGTCTTCATCACTATCAGTCCACAAGTACATGGACTGATTTGAACTCTAGAGAAATGGGCCAGGAAGGAAAACAAGGGTGCTGGCGCACTGGTAACACCAGGGCACTGGTTTAGGTGCGGTGGTGTATCTGATTTCATTGTTACAGGGTAGACACTAACAAAGGTTTACTGCATAGGAACACCATTATTCAAAGAAGAGTGATATCATGCTTAAATGGAGTTTAGAACAAAAATTAAAACTATTTTAGAAAAAAATGAAACCAATAGAACATGTTAAATATTAAGTTAGGAAGAAGATTCAGGTTATTTTTATGTGGTGTTATTTCTCCCCTAGAGACAATCCTTAAATATTTAATGTGACAATTGAAAGCAATCGTTTCATTATATCATGCCCTTTCTTGATGTCCGTTTTAATGTATCAGTTTAAATATTCTTTCCTCCAAATCTTAGCTGAAATGGCATCTTCCTAATGAGTTTGGGCAAGAAAAATGTTAAAAATCTTCATTTTGCCTAAACGTGAAGAATGAATGAGTTAGCCTTTATTTTCCTACTGTAACTCAACTCTGAAGTCAAAAACTGTATTTGTCTCCTTTGTTTTTCCTGACAGAGAACAAAGCTCCCTCTATCCTAATTTACCTCTCAGTCACTAGGGGCAGGACAGCTGTAGAATCTAGTTACTTCCGGTTTCTCCCTGTAACAAATGTGCTCAGTTAATGAGAATGATTTTACCCATCAAAAACTAACATGTGGAAACATCAAAAACACCTCTATCTGAAGACTGGCATACAAATTCCATTATATTTTTTATATTGCAAAACTAGAACTCTTAAATCTGCCCTGTGCAAAAATGAAAATGATAACATATGTACATTTAATTTTATTTTAAGCTAATTTAAATTGCTTTCATTGGTTTTAGATGAAAGAATTTCAAAATAAGATTGTGTGTGTGCATATATGCATGTGTATAGCAGGTATATCAGCATATGTGTGACTTGTGTAAGCATACATGTGTGTGTATGCTTACATGTGTGCATGTCTGTGTGCCTGTATGTTAGGTATCTTCTTCACACATGTGTTACATGGCCCCTTCAAGCATTTCCCTACCTTATGTTTTGAGACTAAATGGCTCGGTGTCTGTAGTTCATTGACTGTTTTTCTGTCTCCGAGACCCCTTGTTTATATTGCAGGAGTCCAGTGCTGCTCTTGGCTGTTCTTGATGTGTACTGGGTAAATGAACTCAGGTGTTTATTTTTGTGTTGCAAGTCATTTTCTAACTAAGCCATCCCCAGCTCATAAATAAGGGATTTAGGTAAAGTAAGAAAAATTTAAATATTTGTAATAATGTCTTTTCTTTCCTAATTTCTTACATACTTAATTGTTACATCAGGTTATATTTCAAATTCACACTTGATCAGAATTCTTCTGAAATATTTTGAAACCCTTCCTGAGATAGTTATTAAACCATTTGAAGTCATCATTATAAATTGGAACAAAGATTGTTAAAAACTGGGTTCCGACTTCCATGCTATTATGAACTAATATCTCACAGACTATATTATAAAATAGTGTTCTATAGAATAATACAAACAAGGATATCACTTTGAGGCTAGTTTGACAGAGAAATAAATAAACAGAGAAATTTGAGTTAACTGGAAGAATTTAGATGGTGTTTCAATGCTAAAAATTCAAATGCCCAGGATACAAATATAGAAACAGTGGTGTGGGTTGC